ATGGCAAAGGAGTGTCTTCGGGATTAATGTGATACTGCACGAGCCGCGCGTGCGTTGGCGTGCCTGCTAATGATGCTCGGTCAAGCATAAAAGATCGACACCGATCTGCGATCTTCTTGGATGGGTATAGCAAACATTTTTCGTTGGGCGCTCCAAATTTCTGCTCGCATATCCGTGCAAGCTTCCGATTAATGAGTCAGGTATATACTTTTTGGTGACTTGGGACAAACAGATACCTTTTCGATGCTTAGATGGATAAAGAACCTTGGGTATCCAGACACCATCGCGTCAGCAACGCGCTTCTCTCCTTCCTCATATCCCACATTGTCCGCCCAAGTAGGAAGCGAAACAGAGATCGCATGTTGAGTGAAGGGTGGCAATGCAGACCCAAGTGGGGAGTTACTGGCGGAATGCGGGGTAGTCATGATATTAATCGTGGGGTCGAGGCGACTATCTCAGAAGCGTTGCAATGTGCTTATTGTATCATTTCCAGTAAAGACTTGGCGCAAAGTTTTCTAAATTCTGTCGCGTGCCCCGAATAAATGACTCGCGATACAATTCCGGTCGATTTGCCCGATACGGACCAGAAAATCGCCAAATAAGAACATGTATGGCCCGGATTAGCACTGCTGTCGTGTTTTCATTCAGTCTATGCATCACTCGGTGCGGATGAGCGATGCTTTGTCGCTAAAAAGTTTTGAGCTACGTACGAATCTTGTTAAGTTGCAAGGTCATGCTCATTGAATAATGGGCTTATCTTGGCTTGCAGGTGATATATGACGAACACCCCGTCAAACGAATCACTGACACGGATTATTCCCGCTGGATATTTCTGTTCTGGCATTGTAGTAAGCACGTATACAAGGAATCCGACACTTTGCTTTACGGTCGATCGTTTCGCTACAAATTAAGTAACAGGCTTCGTTTGCTGAAGCTCATCTTAGCAAGTTGTCTATTTTTTCCGCCGTATGTTCATGCAATATTACCACGTAACAGTGACAAGATAGAGGGCGCCCATGCCAAGTGTTGCCGTCGCGCAGTGCCTGTTCGAGGGATAGCCCTTGTCGAGGGCCGATTGATGCCCGTACACCACTGATATTCACGTTTTGGTGGGCATACGCCATCGCACATGAAGATATCCCACTGTTATAGCAAGCTCACTCGTACATTTGGGCGCTCAGGTGTTTTGTGTTGATACGTGACTGTGCAATTCCAACGACATTTAGAACATAGACTTCAATCTTGTCTGTTCTGTGCCCTCAATAATGCTCAATTGGAGGCACTCGCTGAGGTTGTCCTTACTACCACACAACGAATCTTCTCTATCGTAGTCATCCGATGCCATCAAAGTAGATTTGTTCCCCTATCCTGCCCAATCAGATTACGCTCCCACAGCACTGTTCAAACTTGTGCGTGTTCCTTGCGTCTAATACTACCAATGTGCAGTCTCTCCTGATTGGGTTGTCGGATTTGCGGAGCAACATTGCCCAGAAGCGACCACTCGAAATGCCAATACTATGAGGGAACTGCCGTCGTTCATGTGCTGGCTTTTTGCTCAGATCAGGTGCCTAACTTTGATTCGCGTCCGACGCAGGAAACTGTGGGCTTTATGATAGAATTCATCGAGCATTCTCCACAGTGACGGTTGATTCGTGAGTGTGCAGATTGAGAGCGAGGGAGCGACAGGTTTAACGTACTGCGATGCCTGTGTCGTCCAGCTACTTTGAGTTGTATACCAGTTTCATAACCAGACCTCGGGCGTGCATGATGTATTCCAAGGCGCTACCACGTAATGGTGGGGTAAACGATTAAAGGTCATACTAGGTGCATGATCACACAGTACTTATCCCTTCAAAGGCTTGGTTTAGGATGTCGTGAATGATATGAATATATTCATCTCTGGACCATCCCAGGTCTCTGATCTCGCACGCTGTCAATCTCCTGTGCTATAAGCTCCTTTAGCAGAGTACCTGCGGAAGGACAGGCAAAGGACAAATGCTGTGGAGGAGGTACCAGAGTATTCAAGGGCGGGTTACCGTTCAAAAGATGGTATGCGTGTAATAGCGACGACTTTGCGATGAATGATCCGGTCCGCCCAATGCCAGCGATACAATTTACCATGATAGGAGGGTCTGGGTCTGGCTCCGGAGATAACAGGAATGAAGAGGTATCCTTGTTGGCGGAACGAAAGCGGGAAGGCTAGCTGGATGTTCATCCTCAGGAACCCCATGGTCCGGCCATACAATATACAGCAGATGGGTAAATACCACAGCATCCTGCGGATTTGTCGAGGTGACAGGAACGATGGCGAACCTGTTCGAACAAGAGCCTCATCGGATGTACTACATCATAGTATTACCTGTCACAGTAAGAGGCCAACAAACTCAAATTAGTTTTCTTCCCTGTACATACCACACACCTTTTGCACTATCCATGATGATGACCATCTACATGGTATTCATTCACAGTATGTTGTCACGATATCCGGAACCGTGGGCAAGTCAGTGCATGCGGGCGTAAGCCTCCGGTCCAATCCTGTCAAAATGATTTTTGATACGCACCACGCACTGCAAGCCGCAAATGAAGGCGAAGGACAAAAGCAGGACGGTCACATATGATAACCCGATCTTCACCGGTGCACCCTTGGTTGGAATATCAACAAGCATTCGAACTGGCGCGCTCCGCTGCCACTGGGACTCCTGTGTCCGTCCTTCATGCTCCCATGAATACTCGAAACTGTAAATACTAGCGACACAAAAAAAGACATACGGTGATACAAGTACAAGTACGTCCAATGGCACAGCAAAAAATAGCACATTAAAATTCCAAGACAATACCACCCTCATCTAACATCGAAGCGTCATTGTGGCTTGACTACTTGCAGCTCTCGTCGTCAAAAACCCAGTGGCCGTATGTCCCATAGTTCTGAAGAGAATCAACAAATCGTGCCGCAATCAATGTAACTGAGCAGCGAACCTTTTGGAAGCAGGATTCTGCCCCCATGAAATGCATCCCACGGAAGCTTATAGGAGTGGTAGCACAGAACTCCTTCCAATCACCTCCAGATGGGAGGTTCTCGAGGTAATGCTCAATATGCTGCATACTGTCAACTTCGCTCACTATATCGTGTCTGAGGAACTCACTCGCTGACCGGATCCAGGCGAAACACAGCCCTGCGACAATCAATAAGTTGCAAATATGCCAATGAGAAGAATCGACAAACAAAATCTTTGCACCAGCTCCAGTATGGCGCACAATCTGGCTCATGCTGGTTGACTTCTCAATGTCCTACTACATTGTTTGGACCCTGGACACAGAATATCAGCTGCTTGTACTACCAAGAAATGCAGGAACACTCACATGATCCTCGCACCACTTAGGTGTGTATTCAACACCATGAATCTTTACCAGTGTGGCCATGCAAGCCTCCACACAGCAGTTGTAGGATGATGGAATGTTCACCAATTGGGCAGTGTACTCTCAAGTGGTGTATGTCATGCACATGTGGGATGCCAAGTCGGTCCAAAACATATTCAATCTCAACCGTTCTTCTTCTTCATGCTTCCTTCTCTCCTCCACTTCATGTTCATGATCTTCCACTTCCCTGCTCCATTTTTTGCATAGGAGAGTCCTTTCTTGCTCTTTGTGCCCCCATCTCTCCTCCATGTCACGTTTGTGCTCTTCCACTTCTCTTCCCCACTGTTCGCGCAGCAGAATTCTTTCTTGCTCGTCACACCTCCGTCTCTTCTCCATGTCACATTTGTGTTCTTCCACTTCCATTTTCCATTGTTCATGAAGACAAACACATTCTTGCTCTTCGCACCTCCATGACTCCTCCACTTCCTTATCATGCTCTTCTGCCTCTCTTCCCCATTGTTTGCGGATACAAATTCTTTCTTCTTCGTCACACCTCCATCTCTCCATCACTTCCTCATCATGTTTGTCCACTTCTCTTTCCCATTGTTTGCAGATATGAGTTTTGTGTTCTTCATCACGCCTTAGCCTCTCCTCCATGTCACAATTGTGCTTTTCCACTTCCATTCCCCATTGTTCGTGGGAATGAATCCTGTCGTTATCTTCCTGAAGCCAGCATTTTTGGGTGTCAATGTGCTTGAGAACTTCTTCCTGGTGCTGACGAAGTTTGATGTCCCAGTCCTTATGAATGCAATCTCAAACATCCGGATCTAAGGGGTCATTTGAAGGTCTCGCAGAGAAACTTGTGATTGCAACAATCAAGAGAGCGATGAATGCTGCACAGATACAGAGAGATTGATAGCAATGAAAAGGCTTGCAAGGCCCTATCAGAGGGTCTGCCTCTGATGAGCTGCAAGGCTTGTCATCACTATCAAGTATCAACCTATTACTGGGGTTTACACACCTAGGATAGTAAGGCGGGGGACTGCGCACCCTCGTTAGTAAAAATGACTCCAAGGGTATTCAAGATGGTACCTTACCTGCTGTGCTCCCTCATCTTAGGGAATTTCTTAGCGAATAATTGTTGACTAACAGTGTTACGGCGATACACAGATCACTGTTGAATATTCAATGTTCACTGAAGAATTAATATTTACAAACCTCTCCTTTGATGATAAAAGGACCTGACAGTGACAAGGTGTGGGCCTATCTTTGACTCTTTGACCGAATGAGGAAGGGGCTCAAGACCTTTATGGGTGGATTCAATCGGAGTCGCGGAATTGATATTTGATGCCGCTGCCCAGGAATGCATTAGTAGACTCTGTGCGTTAGTAGTTCGTCTAGACATTACGAATTCGAAACCACCCCTCATCTGCTGCAATGGAGGAATGTGATAACATTGTCGTGGACTGCTCATGCTACGATGTATAATTCAAATTTCTCGCAGCATGAACGGCTACAATATCAGGGAATCATCTATTCACTGATGCATGCTGTATGGTAATACAGCATGTTCGGAACAGCGGCATTAGGTATCAACGCCGCGACTCCGACTGAATCCACTGTTCTTAGTAATAGAAAGCGCCTTCAGGTTGCACAGACCCACGCATTGTTAGCGTGTCGTCGTCCGCAATTTCCTGTAAGCCTGGAGGATGCTCATCATTTCCCATAACTCACCAGGGAAGTCCTTTAGGTTTCTCAGCGCCCTGACCAGGAGAGGTTCGTCCATGTTCATTCCTCAGCAAGAATTCAACATTCAACAATTATCCCTCTATTGCGATATAGTTAGTCAACAAAAATTCACCAAGCTCAGCAATTCTCCCGGATGAGGCGATACGACAAGTAAGCCACCATATAGTATTGTCACCGACTCTAACGATGGTGTGTAGTCCCCCGCCTTACAATAGTACGGGGTGAGTGAGGCTTGATAATTGGCTGATGCTTGGTGAATGATGGAAAGCCTTGCAGCTCGTCAGAGGCAACGCGTCTGATTGATAGTCGCAAGCCTTCTCATCTCCATCAATCCTTCAAGAGTTACATTCGAACAGCGTTAATTGCTATCATAGCTGCTTCAATTGCGATCATCATCTTTGCGTCAGTGTTTGACACTTGTAATAATCCCTTAGATCCGGATGTTCGAGATCGCATTCGCAAGGACTGGGGTATCGAACTTCGCCAGCACGAGAAAGAAGCTCTCGAGCGCAGTGACACCTACAAGCGCTGGCGCCTGGAAGATAATGACAGGATTCATCTCCGCGAACAATGGCAAACGGAAGCAGAGGAGCACAAACGTGATATGGAGAAGAGACAGAAGCGTGAAGAGCAAGAAAGAACTCTTCTCCGCGAAAAATGGGGTAGGGAAGTGAAAGAGCACGAGCATGAAGTGGAGGAGAGACGCAGGCACGAGGAAGAAGAACGGTTGAGATTGAATATGTTTTGGACCGACTTGACTTCCCGCACGTGCACAACATACGCCACTCGAGAGTACACTGCCCGACTGGTGAACGTCCCATCATACTACAACCGCCGTGTAGAGGCTTGCATGGCCACACCGGTAAAGATCCATGGGGTTGAATATATGCCTAAGTGGTGCGAGGATCATGTGGGTGTTCCTGCATTTCTTGTAGTACGAGCAGCTGATATGCCGTGTCCAGGGTCCGAGCAGTGTAATAGGACATTGGGAAGTTGACCAGCATGAGCCGGATTGCGCATCGTACTGGATCTGGTACAAAGATTTTGTTCGTTGATCCTTCTCGTCGGCATATTCGCAACTTATTGATTGTCGCAGGGCTGTATTTCTCCTGGATCCGGTCAGCGAGTGAGTTTCTCAGACACAATATAGTGAGCGAAGTTGACGATATGCAGCGTATTGAGCATTACCTTGAGAATATCCCATCTGGAGGTGATTGGAAGGAGTTCTGTGCTACCACTCCTGTAAGCTTCCGTGGGATGCACTTCACGGGCGCACAGATCTGCTTCAAAAATGTTCGCTGCTCAGTCACATCAATTTGGCATGATTTGCTGATTATTTTCCAGAACGGTGCTACATGGGGCCACTGGGTTTTTGATGACGAGAGCTGCAAATAGCCAAGTCGCAATCATAACGATTTGATGTTGGATGAGGAAGAGAATGTATTAATTTCGAGTTGTACTAGACACAGATGTAAATTCATGGCTTCGAGTATATACACCCAAGGGACGGCAGAAAGACAAACGGTGAGGTCATTGATTGGAAGGTCAATCCACCGCTGTATAGTGACAGCTTCGTACAAACAACTTCCGAAGGCAGCACACTAACTTGAGATTGTGTTCTCCGGAGGTCATAGAAGTGCGAACCGAGATGAGATATGATTCGCACGGCATCGACTACTGCTTGGATCAATCTGTGTGCCCGTCAGACCCACTAGATGTGCTTCCTCGAGCACACTACCATTGAGGCATGCTATCACAATTGACAGTTAAGGCCATACGACACGCGCAGACAGCTGGATCTAGTGAGTGCTGAGCAATAAGCATCCTTGCGTGAAGTATTTAAAATGACCATATGGCACGATATCAGTTTGCACTGCTACACGCCAGACAGAAATTCTACATCCCTTGGGTATATACTCGAAGACATGAAAATACATCTGTGTCCAGTACCACTTGAAATCAATACATTCTCTTCCTCGTCCGACATCGAGTCGTTATGATTGCGACTTGGCTACCTGCAGCTCTCGTCATCAAAAACCCAGTGGCCCCATGTAGCACCGTTCTGGAAAATAATCAATAAACCATGCCAAATTGATGTAACCGAGCAGCAAACATTTTTGAAGCAGATCTGTGCCCCGGTGAAGTGCATCCCACGGAAGCTTACAGGAGTGGTAGCACAAAACTCCTTCCAATCACCTCCACACGGGATGTTCTCAAGATAATGTTCGATACGCTGCATACCGTCAGCTTCGCTCACTATATTGTGCCTGAGAAACTCACTCGCTGACCGGATCCAAACGAAGTACAGCCCTGCGACAATCAATAAGTTGCAAATATGCTGACGAGAAGGATCAACGAACAAAATCTTTGTACCAGATCCAGTACGACGCGCAATCTGGCTCGTGCTGGTCGACTTCCCAATGACCTATTACATTATATTGACCCTGGACGCAGAATATCAATTGCTCGTACTACCAAGATATGCAGAAACACCCACATGATCCTCGCACCACTTAGGCATATATTCAACCCCATGGATCTTTACCGGTGTGGCCATGCAAGCCTCCACACGGCGGTTGTAGTATGATGGAACGTTCACCAGCCGGGCAGTGTACTCTCGAGTGGCGTATGTCATGCACGTGTGGGAAGTCAAGTCGGTCCAAAACATGTTCAATCTCAAGCGTTCGTCTTCTTCCGGATCTAAGGGACCATTCCGAGTGTTAAACACTGATGCAAACATGAAGACCACAATTGAAGCAGTTATGATAGAAATTATTGCTGTCTGGATGTAAACCTTGAAGGATTGATGGAGGTGAGAAGGCTTGCGACTACCAATCAGAGGCTCTTGCTCTGACGAGCTGCAAGGCTTTCCATCACTCATCAAGCATTAACCTATTATCAAGCCTCACTCACCTCGTACGATAATAAGGCGGGGCCCTACGCACTAATATTAGGGTCAGTGACAACACTAGTACTGTACGGTAGCTTACTCGTCGTATCGTCTCATCCAGAAGGATTGTTGAGCTTAGTGGATTTTTGCTTGACCAACTATATCACAATAGAAATATTACTCTTGAATATTGAATCCTTGCTGAAGAATGAACATAGACGAACCTCTCTTAATCGGACAACGTGGTTAGGGCGCTAAGATACCTTGGGAAACCTGAACGACTTCCTGGTGAGTTATGAGGAATAATAAACATCCACCAGGCTCACAAGATCCAATAGCACGTTGACTCGGATAATGCGCGGATCTATCGTATGATACTATGATCTAACTTGAAGGTGCTTTCTAAGATTAAGAACAGTAGATTCAGTCGGAGTCGCGACATTGATATCTAATACCGCTGTTCCGAACTTGCTTTGTGACAGTTTAGACCCCACGTGACGAATTTCATGCGCAAACGGCCAGAGGGAGTGCTGATTTGAACAAGCATCCTCGCGTGAAGTAAGATTCTAAACTGATCAAGTTGAAAACCTATCACATGCCCGTTGAGCTGATCGTTAATCATGCACAGTTTCGATGATTAACTTCAGTAGTATTTACAAGCAATTCCTAGCCTTGTGGTACAGTTCAGGAGTCAATATTCAATATCGGTGCTTGGAATTACTGTACAAACCACATACATCCCTGTCAACCATTATCTGTGGTACAAAAGGCAGGCTAGCGAACCCCAAGTTATTGCCGGAAATCGTTTCGAACAACGCACCAAAACAAAACCGTACATCACTCATCCATTCGTCACTCCCACCGTCCCATGAGCTCCCCCAAATCTAAGCCAACCAACGAGTTTCTGTCACCAGCACCAAGTGTCGGCACCATCCGCGGACTATGTGTGACATCTCCTAGCCCCGAACTTGACGCAAGGCGCGGACTGCTGACATCTGCAGTTGGGATGATCCGCGGGCTTTGGCTGAGGCGCATGCTCGTCCTACTACTGGATCTTGAGCGCGCAAAATCTCTACTGGATTGTGAGAGATCCCGTGTTTGCGCGAGCGACCCAGAGCGTGACAAGTCCCGCACAATGCTTAGAGACGAGGAGTGTGAGGATGTAGACGAGGCACGTCGGTGCCGCATGCGTTGTGTGGGATCAACATTTGGAACGTTGGCGATGAGCGCGAAAAGAGAAAGGACTACATGGTAGAGATTAGGCATCATAGACGAGCAAGACATTCGATGAACGAAATACACACTGTCGACAACGCTAACAATTCCGCACAATCCGCCGCCCATGGGGGAGCTTGGGGATGAGCTGGGCTCGAAATCAGAATCAGTTACGAAGAGTCGGTGCGCATTGGCTGATCAAGTCATCAGTCTATCCCATTCTGCGAGTCGGAGAAAAGTGACGTACTTGCAAGCAGTTTCTGAATCGCATATGAGAGTGTGCTGGTGGGGAGAACGACATACACTGTGTGGCACATGCATCAGTTAAAATACCCCAATACTAGAACAAATAACTGCAAAGCACACAAGGAGGTGTGGTGGTGGAATCACAAACAAAGGCGAAGAAAGATACGAACCAGGATACCGGTCTGCTCCATCTGTGCTTCCATCTGGCTCCTTGATCTGCGCGACGAACTGGTGCAAAGGCGCGGAGAGAATGTGGTTAGACTCCGAGGGAACGACGAGCTATATGCACATAACGATTATGCAAATAGATTGAAGACCGATGCAATTCGTGAAAGGAGAAAAAAAATTGATCAAGCTCTGCACTGCAGTAATAGCAAGAGGAAGCACACCTTTCCGACATCAGTAACACTCACCGCTCCAGTAAGCCCACCCCAGGACCCGTATCCAGCTCCGTATCCTCCCCCGCCATCATCGACAACAGCTACACTACTCACACCACAGTCACTCATCAGGCGCATTGCGTCAAGCACTGTGGATGAGCTGGTAGCAGCTATGACAGACGTGTACATTTGAAGCGACGGGAGAGTATGTGAGTGCAGAGGGCACGAGAGAAGCGTTGCGAATGTGAAAGTGGGCGCAGGGGCTGGGGTTGAGGCAGAGCAGTGGGGCGGGAGGCTGTTAAGGCTGATACACGCTTAGGAGACTGAGAAGGTTGGGAAATCTGTATGGAGGGTTGCACTGAAGCCGGTAGCCGAGAAGAATGTGGGGATTGCATTGGAGAAGCGGTGTCCGATTGTATGGCAAAATTGGCGAAGTACGCTAGCAGAGCACGGTCGGAGACTGCACCAAGGTAGGTAGTCCTTGTTCGTGTCGTCTCCGGAATAGTATTACACTCTGCGGGAGCAGCGGGTGGGGCGGCTTCGACAAGCACTACAAAATACAAAATAAAACAACGCGCAGTGTTAGCAGGAGAAACAAACAGGCGGACGGGGACACTCACCCCTATGCGTTCCCTTCGCAAACACTCCAAGCAGTGAAATAAGGCTGGCGTTATTCGGGAGGGTCTCTAGGTGGTTCTTTTCTGAGAGGTCTGCGAGTGAAAGGGCATCAATACGGGCGTGGAGGTGGAGGACGACGAGGCAAGATATGAGGTCACACAGTCCGTGGCGTAGGACAAGATAAACAAGTCATGAATCACGCCACCAACATAATGAATGATGTTCAACACATACTGCTAACAAGGTGCACAGGTACACGTCCCTCTTGCGCAGCACTCATAATCTGATCGGCGCGCGAGTTAGCGCGAAGCTCTGCGGGCGAGATCGTGTGCCGTGTCGCGGCGAGCGTGAGGAAGGCATTCACATCTGAGAACTACGCGCACATCGTTCGAGTTGGGTTATAGCATAGCATAGTGATGATCCGGACAGAATGGAGAGGCATACAGGTCAGCTTGGACGAGCACGAAACCAAAGAAGAACGCACGTCAAAGAGCCCAAGATAAGGTGCGCCTGTCTGAGTCGAATCCGGAAGTGCGCGGACAGCGAGACACGGAATGTCTTCTTGCAGAAGGAGCTAGAGAAAGATGATCAGCGCAAGTGTACTTACTAATCCCAACGTTGAACTCACGTCGCATGCGTCCTCGACGGACATGTCTGCGTCGACTTCAACTATGCGCACATCGATCAACTCTGCGTCATTGTACGTTAGTATTAGAGACCGGGATAGAATTCAGAGCAGATATGGAACGAGTTGCTATAAACCTAGACGCACCCTTAGCCAATACACGTGCCCACTGCGCGACCCACTTCTCCGCCTCTGCAGCAGGGACATCGGCGGTCATAGTAACTGTTGGGCTCCGTACGCGCGTGGTCCTTGAGATGGATGCTCTCCGCTGTGCCATAGTGTGTATTTCGTCCGGTTCTGAGAGAGAACGAGTGTCAAAGTACGCCTTGAATGTTCAGATGACGGTTTAAAAGCAGGATGGAATCAGGCGCTAGGTGAGATGGCAGGGTGATAAGAACTTGTCTAAGAAACCGGGACGGCTCATGTGGTGCATGACTTAGATGCATGCCGCTCCCTTTATTACGTGGTACTACAGTACTGCCGCCCGGCCTTTCCCTTTCCAACACACCAAGATTCATTTCTGACACTCCTGCCACACTTGAAACTTCGAGTCTCACACTACATGGTATCTACTCCCCAGTTAATGTCTATACCATTCTCAGTCGATACGCCAGGTCTATCAACGAATTCGATGGCGGAAAGGTGATGTTGGAGGCGAGGCGATGAATACGTCCACAATTGAGTGGACCTAGGGTTCAGGCCCAACACCCTAGGCATTGAAATTCCATTACAGGTCTAAGGAACACGCCGGGCGCCTTGCTAGGAGTGACGTCAGTGGACTCGTGGCGATCAAGACATACTAGACTCCTTAAAATGGCCCTAGGACACATGAGCGAGTGAGTCCCACAGCTATATATATGCGATGATATCCATTGTGCTCGTAAACAGTAATCCTGCTCTCTGGGATATCGTTTGTTGCGGTGACAAACGGAACATGTTGCAGAACACTAGACTCTCACTGTTTTGCTCATGGTAGACGAATCCATGATAACACCCAGACACTCGTATTGAATCCAGTGACCAATGCCAGTAAGAACTCTGTTCAGTCTCTCCACGTCACATGGATATGATCCAAATGACAGTTATCGCCGAGTTTCGGATCAGATACCAGCATCGTGATCTTTACGTTAGCGAGGATGCTCTTGAGCAGCGCACTGAAAGACTGGGACGTTTTACTGTTCGAAACAAGGGCAGAATGTATCAGCACATTTCGACACCTGAAATATCATCCACATCTCGACAACGACGCAACCATACATGGAGACTCCCAACGCTCTTTATATGCAGTCACGTCGTGACCACGCAGGATTGTCGGCCGTGTACTCTTTCGTCTTGTCTAAAAACCCAATTCTGTCCTAAATTTAACAATCCCCTTTGTAAGCTCGAGAATGGGATCGAGGGGTATGGTTTCATTTGTTTGGGGGCAAGAATGGCAAGAGCAGCGGTACTGTAGGCCCAGTTAGTATTATCTTAAGCAGCCTGAGGGCAACATCAAGAACCAGTGTACAACGGTTACTGATAAAAATTACTTCGCAGAACACTATTCCTTCTTTACACGGCTCACAGTTTTGCTCTCGGTAAGGGAATCTCATCCATGATAGCATGCGGAATCTCGTATTGAATCCAGTGACCAATTCCAGTCAGAACTTTGGAATTCAATCTCTCCACGTCACGAAGGACGGATTCCAAAATATCGTTGAAGTTTGGATCTGATACCAGTACGGTGATCTTAACGTTAGGTGGAATGTTCTTGATCAGCCCACTGAAAGACCACGGTGTGTTTTGCTGTACGAAGCAAGGGAAAACCTGTCAGCAACGCTAGCCATTCCGAGAACTGAAATATTACCCGAAACATCTCGATAGCAGCGCGATCGCACATGGCCATCCCCAACACTCTTGATATGCAGTCACGTCGTGACCAAGCAGGATTTTCAGCCATATACTCTTCGGGAGTTCTGATTCTCGCCAACTCGTTCATAAGTAATTGCGAGTTCTCACTTTCATTTTCTCCTCTGTAAGCTCGAGGGCAGGATCGAGGAGTATGATAGCAGTATCTTTCGTCTTGGGTAAGAATGGCAAGAGCGACAAGGTCACTGGGCCTCCAAAAGAATGGCCGATGATTACATCGTAGGATGTGCCCATCACAAAATACGATCGGAGGTCCTCTGCAATGTTGGACACACGATAGTCGGTGCTCCGTCTCCATGCATGCCCAAGGAGATTTGGAGCAACGACGAAGAACCCTGATCAACCTGTTAAAATGGCTTACTTCGTAACTTAAGAAATCTGACCATCTGCTACCAATAGCTCAGCGATGCCCTCCCATGATTGTGAGGACATGGTCATGCCGTGAATGAGAAGAGCCCGCCTAGAAGCGGTAGGCGAACCCCACTGAGACGCTGAAATGGTCATGTGCACACTTAGATGGCTTGGATATGTTCGGGACTTGGCAGCAGAGAAGATCGAAGAGGATCGGCGCTCGCTCTGTACTTAAAAGCTGAGGGCACGGTGGAGGGAAAATGCATTGGCATAGCAATGGAAGAAAACCAATGAGGATGACATGTCTAAATGGGAGAGTAGCACATCGAGGCATACCGTTGAATCGGTGATTTTGTGTATGTAGCAGATTCGGCTCACCAGTAAGTCCTAGTTCGCTATTTTGGGCGGAGAGAACTTATCTTGCGGGTGAGGGAATGGCTTCGTGCTTTGGAATCGCTGCGAAACTACATTACTCAAGCAACAGAGTCTAAGAAGAATATCAATAGCGACTGTATCATTTAAACGTAGACGAAGACAACACCACAAAAAATATATCTTCTCGAGTGCTCGGCTCAAAGCTTTGCTCTTCGTAGCGGAATTTCATTCATGATAATATCCAGACCCTCGTATTGAATCCAGTGACTAATTCCGATAAAAACTTTGGCATGCAATCTCGCCACGTCACAAGGGACGTGCTCCAAATGACAAACACCGCCGAACGCAGGATCTGATGCCAGCACAGTGATCTTCACGTGGGGTGGGATGTTTTTGAACAGGCCACTGAAAGACCATGGCCTGTTATGCTGTTCACAGCAGAGGTGAAATTGTCAGCAATGCTTCCCATTTCGATACCGGAACTATTACCTCATATACCCCTTTGACAACAGTACGATCACACATGGACATTCCTAGCGTTCTTAACACACTGTCGCCTCGAGACCAAGCAGGGTTCTTAACCATATAGTCGTCGGCAGTTCTGACATTCGCAATCTCCTTCAGAAATATATTTTCATGCTTGTTGGCTGTCTCCTTCGTAAGTTCGAGAGCAGGATCGAGGAGTATAACAGTGGTTTCTTTTGTGTTGGGTAGGAATGGCAAGAGCGACAAGGCCACCGCTCCCCCAAGGGAATGACCTATAATCACCTCATAGGACGTATCCATGACAAAATACGGTCGGAGATCCTCTGCAAGAGTGGACACACGATAGTCGGTGCCTCGTCTCCATGCGTGCCCAAGGAGATTCGGCGCGACAACAAAGAACCCTGATTAGCCTGTTAAAAGTGGAGTATCGTCACCATAACATTGCATAACCTGACCCTCTGCTGCTAATAGCTGAGAAACACCCTCCCATGATTGCGAAGACATAGTCAAACCATGAATGAGCAGAGCCCGCCTGGGAGCAGTAGGGGAACCCCACTGAGACGCCGAAATGGACGTGCATATATACTCGGATGACTTGGATGTGTTCGGATATCTTTGCGAGCGGTACAGCTTGTGGGACGGGCTTGTTAGTAACTTGGTCTTCGCTTAAATACTGACGGTGTGACTAAAATGAGAGCGGGAAAGGCGTGTAAAAAGAGTGGTAATGCACGGGGGTGACCCGTATCCTGACAAGTCATGAGACTCTGAGGAACTGAATGGAAATTAATATGCCCAGCCTTCCGCGAGGACGCTGTAAATCGCCACACATTAAGAGAGACTCGGAGGACGGCCCACATCTAAATGTGTCGAGAAGCCATCGATAGTGCGATCTGCGTATCGACGGAACTCTGAGAGCAGACCGAACGAAGGTGATGACACGTTTGCCTAAATGTGACAGAAGCATGTTGACCAATAAGTAAATGACAGCGAAGAAATGTTGATCCTACCACACTAAATCAATGTGGCATCTTATCCTCTTTGCTTCGTCACGGGGGAGTTGCACCCGGGAGGTAGCCATGCCACTTGAACGTGTTCGCTCTGCAAAATATATCAATGTCTTCTTGCCTGACTTATCAACCTAGACAGGTTAATACTTGCTCGTATCGTGCAGGAGCATGCAGGGGACATTGGACAGGTGACATGCAGCTTGAGATGCAACATTATCTTGTTGGATGGATGTCTCCTCTAGACAGAGCACAGACGCAACTTAAAGGAGAAACATTCTCCCAAATTCTTGAAAAATGTGTAATCGCATTATCGCAATGTTGGATGAGTCGCTTTGACGAGACTTGGAGGCTCCAACGCCGTCTAAAAAAGGGAAAAAGAGAGACACTCTCGCAACCTTTCAGTTGGGTACTCAGAGCAAGCTGAGAGTTGAACGTTCTGAACAATTGGCTATGTGATATTAAGGTGAAGGTGTTGTTTGCAAAGTCTCTGCCTCAGCGCCCTGTCGTAGACGTGACGCGTGACGGAATTGGCCTAGGACCGTGACGCCGGTAGAATTACTTCCGAACTGCTTCAAATTTCATCTATGCGTTGCTTATTGTTTTCGTGACGATTCAAAAGCAGAACCGATATGATTGACGTTCAATAATATCTACCGTGTGACAAATAGTGAATATGAGGTATGATGATGCTATTTGGGCTAAAAGCCCGCGGGGCTTTTGACCCGAAACATCGTTTCGGACGGAGTCCAGGGTAAGCCGTGATTCCCAAAACAACAGGAGCCCTGCGACACGTCAGGCTAAGCATGGACTCCCAACAAAAAGGAGGAGGGCGATGTGCACGTACCTTTGTTCAACGTGGAGGAGGCATGGTGTACCGTGTGAACGGTTCGAGGATGGGTGACTCCTGCAGATAGGGCGCCATTATCATGGTGTGTTGACGTAGATAGATGGTGAAGGCGTCGCTTGACCACCTTCCCATTGATTTAACCACGTCGAAAGGAACACCTCGCAGTAAGTATTCCAGCGTTCCGCCGATCCTTAGCCCATGCCCTTTCAAATTGTCGGCTCCGATTAGTGCTGCCAGAGTCCGGTTCAGAACTTCGGTTCGGACCTGAACCTTTCCGAACCGGACCGTAGGTTCGGCATACTGTAGAGCTACGACACTAGGTTCGTCACAGGTCACAGCCCTTGACGAATCGAATCTATTTGGTGTGACCGTCACATGAATTTTGGTGGGACGAAGCTAATTTGTGACATTCGGAAAAAAACATAGGAAAAACATAGGTTGTGCACTAATGGGACCAAAAATTGTTATACATCAAATTTGTGATGCATCTATGCTTTCCACACCCATAATCAACCTTTGGAACACTGTTCAAGCCACCTTCCACATCTTCAGCAGCAATGTCACCCACATCATAGACTTCAGAGTGGTTTGCACACAAAAGTCCACCATCTGCATTAATATGGCAGTCAGAATGGACCTGTTCACCCCTGGAAGCCATATGGTCAAGAAGTGCATCCATTGGCATGTCACTGGCATCAAGATCATGCTTGCTGGCATCATTGAACGGGGATTCAACTCCAATAGCATTAGTACTAGCCTCATCCTCTGACTCAGAATTTGTTGCCCATTCGACACCATCAGTCTTGTACTGAGCAGTAGCAATCCTTGCCCATCCAGCTGGATCATTCTTCTGAACATTGTGTAAATATTGAAGCATGATACCCATTTACAACCCACTGCAATGACTGATCATGACTTGTTACCATCATTAGCACTATGCGAGGTGAATCCTGAAGCAAGTTGTCACAGTCATGAAGCAGTGGCGTGTCATATGGTTGCAAGCGGCAAAGCATCCATGGGCGAATCTATTTGGGTGTGGTCACAGGTCACATGGACATTTGAACCAGTGACACTGAGTATGACATAATCACATGCTGCACGTGATGAACTTAGTGTCATAGCTCTACAGTACTGTAAGGACTGGATGCATCATTATGTTCGGCATTCGGCTGATGCTTGAAACTTGTGAACGTGTTCTGAACATGTCCAAACTCATTTGAACCTCTCTCAAATCTTTGTATGATCCACAGTGCACTCAATGCCCTTATTGCTAGGCAACTACTACTAATATATTCTCTGATCTTCTGGCAACTGTTTTTTTTCCCAAACCCCAATTACCATTGCTCCCATTGTCATTGTCATCCTCTTTGGCTTTTGCACAGTGGCATTGTGGCAAACACTGATGCTCACTCTACTTGGCTGAGACCCTTTGCTGGGTGGATCTGTGTGAGATCCAGGGCCCCCTTCAAAACCAAGATCTGTGTGAGATCTGGGGTGCCCACTAGCCATTGTAGTGATGTGGAGGTGCATGTCATGTGCCTGGGTTGGCCAAGGCAGAGTTGGGGACTGGCAGTATGGATGAACAGAACATGAATGGGGTGGATGGGGTGAACAGGGTGAAATCCTGAGTTCCCAGATGTCCTCCACTTCATGACAGCGACATCCAGCTTCTTCAGTAAAGTACTTGATGTTTTAGTAAGCCCAACATTCATCATCATTCGGATTATAACTTATATTATGTCCAGAACATATCTTTGAGATTCTCGCTCAGGTACTTCAAGCTTCAACTAATTGCATGGCAACAGTATGTTCAAGGTGTGTCATGTTTTTTCTGATCTCAATGCAGATTTCAGTATAAATGAGCTACTACAGGTTCAATCTTCACCCTTCCTGCTGCCAGAATGTTGTGTGCACTTGGATCTGACAGCAAACTGAAAGATGCTAGTGCTATTGACTGGTACAATGACCCTGATGATGACACCCCCATGGTTCCCACACCTCTGCCTTCTGCATCCAATGGGAAGCTGACTTCCTTTGTATCTTGTCACTCTGGTTGAGCTGTTAAACTGACAGAGAAAATCTGTGAAGCTGTCAACACAGCTCCAGCACCTCCTCAAGACCAGCCTGCACCCAAGTGAGTGCAAACTGGCTCCCATCTGATCTGTCACCATGATGATGACAACGATGATGAACCCCCTGCACTGGAGGATGTTTCTGATGATGAGGAAGAGGATGAGGACGAGGTCAACAAAGAGGAAGCTTACCAAAAGACCAAGGCGTTTGGAGACAAGGATCACAAGGATCGCAAGCACACAAAGAAAGAGGAGCACAGTGGAGATCTGAAGGTAGTGTTTACTCAGGAGAAAGGCTGTATCAATCTGCACACCCAAGAATGTGAAGAGTAGTTACTCATTGAATTTTTCATGTAGTTCTTGAAATTTTTTTGAAATTTATATGTTGCATTCAGATGTTTGAACGCATTCATAAGGGTCCAGTCCAGTGTTCACTCTCCTTGCCTGAACTGGACCCAAGGTTTGGTTCTAGGTTTGACAAAACATCCTCAAGAACCAGACTGAACCAGACCGTGGCAGCACTAGCTCCAATCCTCTTCAAGAAAGCTGTGCAAGACAGCAGCCTTAAGCTGTACTTTGGGTGTACCCAGGCGAAAAGATGATCATTTGAAGATGGGTTGTTGACTGTGAAGTGGTTCAAAAGAGCAGCTTTGGGATCAGTTTGATCTTCTTGCTGGGCCTCATATACATCCTCACCAGTGATAGGTGCTGTCTTGGTGCATGGTAAGTGGATCTTCATGACATGCAATCCATTGTGATCCTCCATGTCCATTTGGACATTTGAACATGTGACATGTGCTGTGGTTTGGAACGTGTTCATGGTGGTTATGGCCAGTTCTCTGATTTGACAGAGCAAGTAGAAGGTGCATGTCAAGCACGCAAACATGGCTGCATCTAGAGGTGAAGAGAGTCTTAGAAGGGGGCAAATGTCTAGAATGAGCTTCATGGTAAATGGTTCATGTTTGAGTTTCTTGGATGTTGGTGGGGCAAAATTGATGGCTCCATCTATGGCTTCCTTTAATTGGTCAGGTTGCACCCACCATGGTTGGCCATGCAATGTGTGCCATGTGCGCATGGCATAGACATAGTTTGCTAGGGTTTTTCTGGAGTAAGAGCCAGCACATCCTGAGATGAAGTTGAGTATGGTGAGTGTGTCTGCTGGACAGTGTTGTTCTTCAGGAATGGCATGACCATCACAAAAAATGTGAAAAACTAGTAATCTGGCTCCATAACACTCTCTTATCCCTTGAGCCCATGATTGATTGATGACCGTTAGGACACTCTCTAGATCCTCTTTGGTTATGCTCAAGATTCTCCCATTGGTGTCTCGACTCGATCTTGTCTGGACTGGTATCCAGCACTTGAGTCTATTCCTTGCTGCACAGTGCAGATGAAGAGGTGAGGTCCTAGGAACTAAGCCTGCCTTGTAAGGCTGCAGTTTAGTTGTCAGTTCAATGGGAAGAGGAGCATTGAAGTGCGAATTAGTTGTGCCATTGGTGTTCATGGATGTGATAGAGGGAATCAGGGATGGTGCTAATGTGTTCAAGCTCACTACTACAATTTGCACTGGTATCATCACAAAGAGACTCTGTGATGACATGGGATTCATTCTTGCAGACAGAGGGGTTGTTTGCACTGTCATGACTGGAGAATGGATCGAAGATGAACCATTGGAGGTCATTGTGAATGGGAACTTTGGGGAGCATGAGTTCTGAGCTATTGTAGATGCCTCTGGATGGATCATCAGCTGGGTTGTGCTCACTTGGAATGAAGACTGGGTAGAGAGAGTATGGAGTTGGGAGGTCATTGATGAAGGTGAAAATGTGCCAGAAAACTGTGTTGACAGCTGAGTTCCTGCTACAACTGTTGTGCCATCCTTCAATGATGCCCTGATTGTCTCTGAAGAGATGAAAGTGTCTTTCTGTACCTCCCAATTGGACAAGGTGTCAAATGAGAAGTTTGAAACCAACTGCCTTGGCCCATCCAATGTCTTTTGCCCTGTTGAGCATTCTCCATCCTTCATGAAGCTGCCATGCTTGCCATTGTCAACCAATGACAACAGCAATTCCAACACCTGAGCTGGCATTGGAAAAAGCTGCAGGATTGTACAGTGAGGTGATGGGCTTGGGTATGGTGTGACCGACGAATTGACTTTGGAGAAGAGCAATCCACCACTCAAGGTCATCCAGTAGGCTTTTGACTTGGTGACATGGGAGGAATGGATGATCAGATCTGATGTGCAGCATCACTTTGAGTGTGGTGAGGTATGTGCACCCCTGCATAATGACGAGTGAGGTGTGCAGCAATTTTCCATATAGGCACTGCATGTCACAAAGAATGTGAGTTTCACATCCTTGCCATTTGGCAATGGTGAGTAGGTACTTCTCCTTCTTGGCTTCAGGCAGATATACTTGATTTTGGGTGATGTCCCACATGAAACTGATGTAGGGGTTTGCATAAGCGAAATTAGCATCCTTGGAGGTCTCCCAAGGGATACCCAGCTTGTCAGAAGTGCCATCAATATTGGCAAAATTAAATGAAAACCAAAGGTCTTCAGGTGACCTAGGTGATAATGCTGAGAGGTCCCTGATGGGAAACCAGCAGTCTTCATCAAACTCCTCAAGGGTCCCATCATCGAAGACATGTCCCCTGAACCATACTCTCCCTCCATCTTGGTGTTGCCCCCATTCAATGATGTCCTTGTGCCACTCTTGGTACTGTAAGTTATATGCTGTGAGATGTTCTGTGAGTATGCAAATAAATGGGTGGTCGTCAACCCATCTGGATGTGGGACCAATCCCTTGATGCCAGAAGAGATCGAGACCAGCATTTGTTATGAACTAGGGTAGTTCTTAACAACAAGCAACTCAATAAGAGTTAAGGACTTCTTGTTGAGATTCTATGCAAGATGATAAGTCTAGTGTTCAGTGTAAGCTAAGGTAGAGGGAGTGCCTCTATCTTAAAGTATGGTTTAGATGATGAGAGATTGGGGGTCTCAAGTGAAGGATATTCAAGGTAAAACCTAGTAAGATTAAAGTAAGGAACTAAAGCATACAGGAGAACTATTTATAGTAAACTACTGTGCTTTAGGGCAGGCATGAGAATGGAATGAGTCAGAGATAAGGCGATAGCAAGAATAGGTCATCTAACAATGGCAATGGCAATTGTGATGTAATACAAAGTACGAGTCAGAGATAAGTCTAGTGGCGGCATCATGTGGCTCATGACATAATACACAGTAAGAAGGGAAAATGAATAGGGGCCTATGTGGTTGTAACATTACCCCTCAATTAGGAATGAAGTCACTGGCTTCAGTTATCCTGATTAGCCCAATAGATTGGGTCAGCATCATAGTTAGAGTCCAGCAAGTTGTTTTTCTCCTCTGTAATGGTATATGATTTGTCAGCCATCTCAGCAGTGTGATAAATAGCATCCTGCTCAATCTCCCAGCAGGCGAGAGCTTTGTAAAAACCAGTGTCAGTCCAAACCAGTGGGATGACCGCTTCACCTTTCAAGTCTTTACAAAGGACCAACAGATGCCCTGGTGCATACTCTTTGCAAACTCGGCAATAGTATGCTGGACAGTTCTTATGGTGATGTCCAGCAATGCAGCAGTTGTGACATACAACATTATCAATTGTTGCGGTTGTTATGGTAGTAACGGTGGACAATTGTGCTGGTGGAGAAGGGGATCTAGATCATCGTTTACGATTTCTGTGTGGAGAGGCTGATGCTGTTCATTTGGCGATATGGGCGGATCTGCACCTGGGGTACCAACATGTAGTCGGTGCGATGGGGGTAGGAGAAGGAGAAGCTGGTATGTCAAGTACAGCAATAGGAGGGATACCATCATCTGAATGCTCAGTGGTAGCTGTTGGAGGAGCTGGTGGTGGGATTGGAATAGCAACATGTGGGGATGGGGGTCATGCAACTGGGTTTGTAGCAATTCATTCCATGACAATGTGGATAGCTTCTCTGATAGCCTCCTTAGTATCATCAGGCAACAGACAGATTGCAGTATTACGAATGCGTATATGAAGATGGCAGAAGATGGTCTTGTGACAGTCATTGTCAAGAAGGTTAGCGGTGCATTTGATAAGGCTAGTGTCTCTGATGATTCAGATAATAAGTCCACTAGAGATTGCTCCTCTTTCTCCTAGGAGGCGATCTATCTCAATAGCATATTGTTGGGATGTGATGGCAGATTCAAATAAGGCACTGGTCTCAATTTGATCAATGATTGTGAAGTAATCAGTGAGGGTAGAAGTTGGTCAATGGTGGGGAAGTGACTGGGGAAGGTGTGTTTTCAGCAGTGGTGAGGTTGGCAATGGTGGCAGTCTGGTAGTTGGTAAGGGATAAAGGGTGAGCAACATTTTCAGATACAGTGTTCATAGCAGTGGTGAGTTCCTTGATGCATTGGATGCAGAGGTGTAAGCATTCAAGAGACATTGTTCTAAGGTTACAATTGATGGGTCTTTTTATATGTGGAGAGGACATCAGCGGCATTACTGAGGTTTTCTTCCAGAATCCATTCATTACTGGCAGAGGAGTATCCTTTCCAGGACACTAGATAGCGTCTTCATTTACCCGTTCCCTTGTGTGATAAGATTGCATCAATCTTGTATTCTTCTTCATTATCAATGACATCTGGGGGAGGATCATGGAAGTTCAGGCTGTGGATTTCTGTCTCATGATAGGATGATAGTTCAGAAGCATGGAACATGGGGTGAACTCTCCATTGCAGTGGTAGTTGGGGTGTGAACATGATGGGTGATAGCATGGTGATGATAGGGAAAGGGTCATATTGCTTTGGCGCAAGCTTCCATGATGGTAACTGCGTGATTAGGTTCTGTCCTGATAACCAAACCTTATCTCCTATTTTCCACAGGTGATACTTCTGCCCATGCATTTGTTCTGCCATTCGCTGCATAGCAAGGTTGTGGCAAGAAAGCACTTCTTCTCTTGATTTCTGAAGTAGACAGAGTCGATCTTCTGCAGCAGGTACAGTGGAATCAGGAAGGGTGTGTGGGAGAGCTCTGGGTTCATATCCCATCATAAGGAAGAACAGGGATGCATTTCATGAGTCATGTTTTCGGTGATTGTGGACGAACTCAGCCATAGGAAGGTGCTCTACCCAATCCTCTGGGTGATTGTGGCAGTAAATGCAGAGATAAGTCTCTAGTTCCTGGTTGAGACATTCAGTCTGTCCATCAGTCTGAGGGTGATAAGTGGTGGATGCAGTGATGTTGTATTTTAAGATTTTAGCAAGGGCTTTGGAGAACTTTGATACAAACTGTGGTCCTCAATCAGATATAACTTTCTCATGAAGACCG